ACCCTAATTACTTAGAGTTAATAAGACAGATTCAATAGAATTCATGAAAACACATTCTGTTACTAAAGGAAAACCCATTACAAGGCAATATTAGCAATTTCTTTACAAATTTCCTTTTAGAATTCTCTTTAATATAAAAAGTTCATAATTATTTTCATTTAGTAATTATTTTTTATCTGTAAATTACTGTTATATCCATTGGGGGGGGGGGGGGTATATGCAAATGCTTTTTATTTATATGACTTTTTTTGTGAACGGTCTCTATAAAATCAAGTTGAATATACAGATGACTCTCTCTAATATAATGGATAGCGTAGTATTCACATTTAGCATAAGAAGTTTAGGTAGTTCAATGGTGTCAACTTACGAGTAGTGAAAGGGCTTCTTGAGCACTACCACCAAGGAGGCGGTGAGTGGCAGTAAGCCTAACAACACCACCACGAGCATGCGCAGGAAGGACGTCATGGCGCCCGTCGTCTGTCGCACAAACCAAGGTAAAGAATTAGGCGGGAAAGTTTGTAGTTGACCTTTAAAAATTGTTATCAGGCATATCTATATGAACCTCAATAAATTCAGTGCTAAAATGATTAGAATAAGGGGAATCGTTTCTTTTATTTAGTCGCTGTGATGTTCCTTCGATTAAATAAATAAATATGCTTTATTAAATTAATAAAAAATTTGTAATTATATATCTTTCTAATGTCAAACATACACTTTTTTAATAGATTCATAACAACAACAATAATTACAGTGCTCCCAAATCCAAACAACCAAAAATAAATTAATTAAACAGAGTAGATTATAATATTATTATAAGGTATATTACAGTCGCCTTTCTCAAATGTCTTCTTTTAATCTTCTCGTTTTAGGGTTCTATATCACCGAGAATTATCGTCTGATTTAGTAATGAATACGTTGTTTGATACAAAGAATAAATAAACTATTGAAAAGTATATAAGGTTTATTTAGTTGTGTTGACGTACGTATAATTACAAAGAGACACACAAATAATAATATAGTTTTAAGCATTAAGCACACATATATAGGATTAGAAGATACGTTAAATGTTTATAAACACATTCTTAGTAATGATGATACTTTTTTCGAAGTCATAGATTTCCATCACAATAAACATGAATATTTTATACAAATTATAATCAACTGTATTTTGTTATTCCTGCTACCATTGATACGTCTCTTATTATTGGCTGAGATTTCTAGGATATATATGCAATAATGAAAAAATGAAAGAAAAAAAAAATAAAAGATAAAAATTCGTGGATGGCTTTTCTTGATTTATCAAGAAATTGGGTTGGCCAAATATCAAGGAACAGGCTAAATCAATGATTAGTTGATTTCTGTTCCACCAGATGGCGTTCTGCCTTCTGTAAAGCACATGTGCTCCTGGTCAGGATATGCCATTTTTATTTTTGATATACAATAATATATGTAAATATAAACTAGCCATATATGTCAATATATAACAGCCCTATAGTGTACCACATCCCCAAAATTTAGATAAACTTCAACACGCCAGCTTGTCGATTTAATGTAATCACAAACAAAACAGTAAAGTTTTATTGGGAGTCTGCCACATCCAAGGCAAGACGAGGTATTAGATATCACTCTAACAAACAAATTAAACTTTTCAAATTTATGTAAATCACAGAAACTAATATCTTCAGTTATCATAATATAATTTTATACAAACTTATAACCTTGAAACTGCCCTTAAAAGGTTCAATATTCCTTCCCAAATAACCTATACAATTTAAAATAAAGATACTTCGGCCAGTAAATATTTTTATTATCTCGACGTTTCGACAAAAATCTTTTGTCTTCGTCAGGAGCGAACAAAAATTAAAACATTTGGCAAAGCGTTAAAAATTATTCAATATACAAACTAGGATAAAAGATTTTTGTCGAAACGTCGAGATATAAGATTTACTGGCCAAAGTATCTTTATTTTAAAGAAATATGAATGCTGGCCAGTCAGCCTCAATCTTGACTATACAATTGACTAACGCTCAATAATTCTAAAGGTAAGATATTTATTAGAATTAGATAAACCCAAAGCACAATATTTAAAGAATATTCTTGGAAAATACATTCTCTAATGTTAGATTGTGAAATAATTGCAAAAGATTTAAACGATATATATCAATCGAAATAATTGCAAAGGTTTCTTTATTCAATAAAAATGGCAAGCTTTCAAGTGTTAGCTCATCATCAGGCCAATTGTTTCACAAATTCCTACAATATATATAGAGGTGTAGGAGGTATTTTTACATATTTACACTTGAAAAAATACCTCCTACACCTGTAAAAGACCAGAAATACTCGAAAGCTCGGCTAAATAAAAAAAAAACCTACTCTTCGCCTTATTATTTTGCAATTTTTAAAGATATTTTACTCAAAGCTTAAGTCGCTCTTTTGTATAATAGTGTTTATACAAATCCTATTCAACTGTATTTTTATTAATGCTACTATTGATACGTCTCGTCTTATTGGCTGAGATTTCTAGGATATATATATGTAGTAATATATGTAAATATAAACTAGTCATATATCGTAAAGATAGAGGCTGCTTGGCCGGAATTCATAGTTCTTCTGCCAAAATTCCCGAAAATTTATATCTTCGTTTTTATTTCGACTCAATCCTATTAGGGTATACAGGATAAACAGCATATGTAGTCTATTTTAGGAGTGGCTGTAAATGGCATCTGTTCCTCATGTCAGAGGCGGCTATTTCATATTGGAACTAAGTCGGACCTGCTACTGTGAGTAGTTCTCCAAGTCATAATGACAAAATCAGACGCAATCTATCACACCCAATTATGATGGTTGTCAAATCGGTTATATGAACTGAACAAGCGAATACAATACCAAACCAATCTGGTAGATTGAACTGGTGGCGCATCTGCTATGAGGGTTTACCACTGATGAGTCAGGCGATTCAGGCGTTTGCCGTTAATGGCAAACCTAAATGAAGTTTACTTTTCAGCATGCATATCGGGATTCAGCCAATAACTCTTAAAAATATTTGATACACAGTGACCTTTATTGAAGACACACGAGATAACCAAGTGTGAACAAAATTGCCTCTGTCTCCTAAAAAAAAAAAAAAATAGATGACCGAGGACATGAAAATATGAAACTTCCTTAAGTTTTGTCTATGATTGTATTTCATCATTGTACAGTAGAAGCGTATATTATTTGAAGAATAAACATTCACAACTGAAGAGTTAATATTTCTAAAGGTTTCCCAAACAACATGTAAAGCGACAATCCAGCGAAATATGATATCACGAGACACAATAATAAATCAAGTGGCCCCAATTACAGCACCAAGTGTAACAATACGTTGGGTAAGTCTTGAGAGGCGGTGGCCCTGTTACCCGCCTACAGACCGGTCGGTCTCTTGGGAAATCTGAACTTATCACGCCCTTCTCGTAATGACACCATTCTTTAATTTGGAGACTTGCACCCACTTTTTTATCATTGTTTTCTTACATAAGGAATCTAGGAGACATGCAGGTTGTGTGGATAGCTCATGGCAATTCGACTGAACTACCTTTTTGGATCTACTCTACACATGGCAGATCTTTATTCCATGTGAAATTGTAGAACGTTTGACAAATTTTACCGCAAATGTTTCTTTTTGAACCCATCCCTGGACAATTTTATTTTTCCGTTCATCATTACTCTTCACAATTCATCCTTTCATACTTCATCCCTAAGGTTAGAAATAATGTATTTCTCCTTAAAATAAAATTACGATTTTTCGTTCAAAAGAAACATTTGCGGTAAAATTTGTCAAACGTTCTACAATCATAAGCCGCATTATATTGTACTATGTGAAATTGTATTAAGATCATTCTAAACCAGTAGTAAGAATCTACTTCTATAGAATAATAGATGAAACGGTTTCCTAGGATGAGTATTTATTACTTTATTATAGATTTTGTTCTCAAGCTTTCATGGTTTTACAAACCCTTCTCTACAACTGATAAGGAACCATAGAGATAGTTTCCATCATTCTTGGTACCAGGTAGAAAACCCCCAAAAAACAGACCCTCCAACTAAACAGAAGGGAATCGACACAATTGGCCAGATGGAAATCTGGTCACCTGCGCTCTCTAGTCTATAAAGAGGGAGCCAAAAGCTTTCCCATGTGCACTAGGTGCAAAACCGAAGAGGCCACTCCCCAACATATACTAATTGCATTGAAAAGGACAAAAGATCCCTGTACAGAAAACCAAGAAGAGTTCTTGAACTTCTTTACAAGCACCACCTCCAAGATCTTGTCTAATTTAGACTAAAAAGATTAGTAAAAAAAAACCCTTCTACAGGAGTAAACTAATATTTAACTAAATATATTATTCTGAAAATTCACACACACATTTGCTGTATGGTTGGAAGTTGATTCAGAGAAAAACTACATCAACCAATAGTTTAACTCCCGACATTTCAGTGACTTTCTGTCACTCTCTTCAGGGGAATGGTTATTTTGAATCCTAGTTCTTGATATATGCAGATAGATGACACTTTGCATATATTTCAGAAAACCATGTATGTATATAAGTAGAACTAGGATTCAAAGTAATCATTTCCCTGAAGAGAGTGACAGGAAGTTACTGAAACGTCAGAAAGTCAAAATATAATATATTATTGTAAAAAAATAGTACTAAAGTGGAATTGTATACTGGGATTAGATGGATAAATTAAGAAAAAGGTATCTCCTTATTATGCAACTGAAAGTTGCTGATGGCTTGCACCATCTGTCGGAATCAATATAAACTATTCGTTGATTTGTAATTATTCCAGAATTGGCCAATACCCATTCTTTTTCTTAATATTTTTTATTATGTACTTAAATAGTCAATATATTTTCTGTGATCCTTACATAACATCTTAACCAATGTAAAGTAACTAAATATAATTCGATTTCCCTCTATTTTTAATTAATATAGATTATTATATATATATTAAAATATAGGGGGTCGTTGGAAGGATGGTCTAAACTGTTGGTTCTCGACCGCTACGACCCGGGTTCGATTCCCGCATGGCCCCCGATTCTTGCAAAATTCCAACCCCACCAGCGAGTGTCTCTGACACATTTGTAAGTGCAAAGTCGAACTGTTTTCACATGTGTAGACATGTGGTGCACTTACAGTAAGAGTAGTCGCCTACTTCTACCCACCATGATTATCATGGCCTGTACCACGTGTACTAGGGATAAGCAAAATTTTATAACACAAAATGTTAGAAATTATCAAAACATTCAACATTCCTACGCAATTTAATTTTTCATTATCAGAATTTGGATCAATATTTGTTAAAAAGTATCTGTGCTTTTAGTTAATTCAATGAATATAAAATGTGTATTTTTTTACTTAAAGTATAGTAGATATTTTTATAGTGTTTTGTCAGAATAAAAAGGATCAACATTTTATCGTGTTTTTTTTTTAAATATAGATATTCACTAAAATGCATTTTTTCTGTCTTTTTTCCTTGAAATATACATTATTTTATTTATTTTATTCACCAGTTCCAAACAAGACACGCTATATCCGATCTGGATAATTGCACGTGAAACTATTTACAATAATTGTAGTAGAGTAGGTAACAGAATTATCAAAAAGAAAATAAACAACTAAGAAAAAGAGCATTGAATAAACATATACATTAAACAAATAAGCAACAACATAAGCAGATAGAAAAAATCGCAAGGTAGTTATTTACAGTATGTTAAGCAATGATGGAAGTTGATTTAATGAAGTTATCTGTAATAATTAGTATCGTGGAGAGAGAAAGTTGATCAGTTGAGCTATTTACAATGAATTATGTTCTAAAGTAACTTATTAATTATACAGTGGACCCTCGGTTTGCGAGCATAATCCGTTCCAGAGCCATGCTCGTACTCCAAAACGCTCGTAGTGCGAAACTAATTTCTTATTTTTAATAATTGAAACTCGGGCAATTCTTCTTGCTACGAACAATTGCACAGTTTCCCACATTTTACATATTTCCCGAATCTGATCTGAAGGGAGGGATCCCAGTGAATTTTCATCCATCACGATCACGGGCAACCATCACGAGTTGCTCGTAATGCGAAATTTCACTCGTAATCCGAGGCAAAATTTTTCAAAAAATTTTGCTCGTACTGCGAAATGCTCGTACTCCAAGGTGCGCGTAAACCGAGGGTCCACTGTATATATTAATAAATATACATTATAGAGGGGTATTACTCTATTACATTTTTATATAGGTGTGGTGTAATGTGGAAGCAAAATAAAGCATGAATGTTTCTTCTATACACAAAACAAACTTCCACTGTCCTTACTGCGATGAAAAATGTATTTAATACAAAGCAATAAGGCGCCATCTATACACAGTAAATTGAAACATAAAGACGCGAATGTTTCTTTCATATATCAATCAAACTTCTACTGTCCTTACTGCGATAAAAAAAATATATATATTGAGAGGACTTGGCTCATTAATGGTGAACCTTACCAGCGGTTTCACCAATTTAATCTACCAGATTGCTTCTTTAGAGCTCTAATACTGTATTGGAATATTCTGCTTTTATATGCAATACTGAAGGGTGAAATCTTAATCCATAATTTTCTTAAATACCATTTCTGAGAATTGCTCAATCCCGATGATAATGCAAGTGTACAAAATTTCATACTTCTAGGTATTCAGGAAGTATGTTTGGAAGAAAATATTTCTTGAAAATAAAGATACTTCGGTCAGTAAATCTTTTTATTATCTCGACGTTTCAAACATTTGGCAAGGTGTTTCTAATATTATAGTATTCTAATATTAGAAAAGTCTTGCCAAAATGTTTTAATTTTTGTTTGCTCCTGACGAGGACAAAATATTTTTTTCGAAACGTCGAGATAATAAAAAGATTTACTGGCCGAAGTATCTTTATTTTCAAGAAATATGAATGCTGGCCAGGCAGCTTCTATCTTTACTGGAAGAAAATAGTTTCGGAATGTTGTAATCAATTTTTAACATACTTTCAGACCACCTAGAAACCTAAAAGTTTACACACTTGCTTAATCCTGATGACAATGTAAGTATACAAAATTCTAGACCGATGGGAAATATGTTAATTTTAATTTAGAATTTTAAATTTATTGTCATCATTATTAGGCTTTTCTTGTGTCCTTGCATTTTTCAAATAAATAGATGTCCTAGTCTCGAAACCGAAGTTTAGAGTGTATAATTGCTATTTTTCAATTGTCCGTGTACTAATACACCAGAAAAACATAGTCAGAACTGAGGAATAAAAATCGTGTTATTTTATAAGATTTTATACCTATGTTATATTTGCTAATTTATTTTGTCAAATTCTGAATTGTATAACTATATTTTTGAATACTTAGCACATTAATATTTTGTTTGTAATATAAACTATAATGTTTTATATTTTAAGCATTATTCGTAGAGCAAACATTTACTCGGAGAGATCTCGGGTGAAGCCGGGTCATAAAATATAATTGTAACGAATAGTATTTGAATAAAAATGTGACTATCTCTCTAAAAATAATAATGTTAATAACATATTGCTTATTACTGGTACTATTACTGTTATAACCGCATGTACCCTACATTTCTGCTTGGGGAATCTGTATAAGACTAAAAGGTCTTAATAAAGCTTTTAGTTGTGGTATTTTAATAAAAAACATTTTTATACATACGTACTTGGGGAAAAAGGCACTCGGGTCATTCGGCTAGTTATAAATAAAAGACAATTCTCGTGAATGTATATATGCGGCATTACATAGATATATATGAAATTTTCATATGCTTCAAGTAAACATATATGATCTGTGAGACACGAAACTGGAAATAAAACATGAATTCGCTTGAATATGCGGCATTACATAGATATATATGAAATTTTCATATGCTTCAGGTAAACATATATGATCTGTGAGACACGAAACTGGAAATAAAACATGAATTCGCTTGAATATGCGGCATTACATAGATATATATGAAATTTTCATATGCTTCAGGTAAACATATATGATCTGTGAGACACGAAACTGGAAATAAAACATGAATTCGCTTGAATATGCGGCATTACATAGATATATATGAAATTTTCATATGCTTCAGGTAAACATATATGATCTGTGAGACACGAAACTGGAAATAAAACATGAATTCGCTTGAATATGCGGCATTACATAGATATATATGAAATTTTCATATGCTTCAGGTAAACATATATGATCTGTGAGACACGAAACTGGAAATAAAACATGAATTCGCTTGAATATGCGGCATTACATAGATATATATGAAATTTTCATATGCTTCAGGTAAACATATATGATCTGTGAGACACGAAACTGGAAATAAAACATGAATTCGCATGAATATGCGGCATTACATAGATATATATGAAATTTTCATATGCTTCAGGTAAACATATATGATCTGTGAGACACGAAACTGGAAATAAAACATGAATTCGCTTGAATATGCGGCATTACATAGATATATATGAAATTTTCATATGCTTCAGGTAAACATATATGATCTGTGAGACACGAAACTGGAAATAAAACATGAATTCGCTTGAATATGCGGCATTACATAGATATATATGAAATTTTCATATGCTTCAGGTAAACATATATGATCTGTGAGACACGAAACTGGAAATAAAACATGAATTCGCTTGAATATGCGGCATTACATAGATATATATGAAATTTTCATATGCTTCAGGTAAACATATATGATCTGTGAGACACGAAACTGGAAATAAAACATGAATTCGCTTGAATATGCGGCATTACATAGATATATATGAAATTTTCATATGCTTCAGGTAAACATATATGATCTGTGAGACACGAAACTGGAAATAAAACATGAATTCGCTTGAATATGCGGCATTACATAGATATATATGAAATTTTCATATGCTTCAGGTAAACATATATGATCTGTGAGACACGAAACTGGAAATAAAACATGAATTCGCTTGAATATGCGGCATTACATAGATATATATGAAATTTTCATATGCTTCAAGTAAACATATATGATCTGTGAGACACGAAACTGGAAATAAAACATGAATTCGCATGAATATGCGGCATTACATAGATATATATGAAATTTTCATATGCTTCAAGTAAACATATATGATCTGTGAGACACGAAACTGGAAATAAAACATGAATTCGCTTGAATATGCGGCATTACATAGATATATATGAAATTTTCATATGCTTCAAGTAAACATATATGATCTGTGAGACACGAAACTGGAAATAAAACATGAATTCGCTTGAATATGCGGCATTACATAGATATATATGAAATTTTCATATGCTTCAGGTAAACATATATGATCTGTGAGACACGAAACTGAAAATAAAACATAAATTCGCTTGAATATGCGGCATTACATAGATATATATGAAATTTTCATATGCTTCAGGTAAACATATATGATCTGTGAGACACGAAACTGGAAATAAAACATGAATTCGCTTGAATATGCGGCATTACATAGATATATATGAAATTTTCATATGCTTCAGGTAAACATATATGATCTGTGAGACACGAAACTGGAAATAAAACATGAATTCGCTTGAATATGCGGCATTACATAGATATATATGAAATTTTCATATGCTTCAGGTAAACATATATGATCTGTGAGACACGAAACTGAAAATAAAGCATAAATTCGCTTGAATATGCGGCATTACATAGATATATATGAAATTTTCATATGCTTCAGGTAAACATATATGATCTGTGAGACACGAAACTGGAAATAAAACATGAATTCGCTTGAATATGCGGCATTACATAGATATATATGAAATTTTCATATGCTTCAGGTAAACATATATGATCTGTGAGACACGAAACTGGAAATAAAACATGAATTCGCTTGAATATGCGGCATTACATAGATATATATGAAATTTTCATATGCTTCAGGTAAACATATATGATCTGTGAGACACGAAACTGGAAATAAAACATGAATTCGCTTGAATATGCGGCATTACATAGATATA